GCTCTTCTGTACCAACACAGTCTAAAATAAGGTCCAGGATATAAAGTTATATGGAAAAAATACAACACAGACTTGTGTATATAGTCTGCTATCTGCAAATCTAAAAGCGAAATCTCTATATATTTAACTTTGCTTGCAAATGCATAACTTTCTCTCTGGAGGGATCACGGGAAACATAACTGATTGTTTTTGGAGAGGGGAATTAGGGTGCTGGGAACTGGCACGGGAGGGAAGCTTTCCATTGTACATATTTTATACTTTTGTTTGAATCATAGGATGTGTTATCCATTCAAACAAATTTAGGACTTATTTTATTTTGATTTTTTTAAATCCTTTTTTAGAGAGTGCGTGGGGTGGGGAGAGGGGTAGAGGGAGAGGGAGGAGAGAGGGAACCTTGAGCAGGCTCCATGCCCAGCGCGGAGGCCGTGGAGGGGCTGGATCTCACAACCCTGAGACCATGACTTGAGCTGAAATCAAGAGTTAGACATTTAACCAGCTGAGCCACCCAGGTGCCTCCTCCCCCAATATTAGGATATGAAAATATGAAAAGTTTTAATAAGAAAAAGAAGATAACTCTATTCTACCTCCACCCCCTTAAAGGACTCCTATAAATTTCCCAGTGTTTGTGCCTATGTGCCTCCCACTGTCCTTGGAGACCATGGAGTAAACAGAAGTCCAGGGGAAAGGTGACATGACCAGCACAAGTCCACTGGGTGGCTTTGCCAAGGCCCCAGTCGCGGCTTATAATTCCCTGCACGACTGGGATGATACCAGGTAGACTCCTGGAATTTTCTGGGCTGCTACTTGTCTTCATGCTTGTGCATCTGTTTCTGTTTCCAACTGGAGCTGAAGTCAGTAGCTCAATGATTTTGAAGATTGCAAATGCCTACCCTCCCTTCCCCCCTCCCAAGAAGACATGAGGGGAAAATTGGCACAAACTTCTTTCCTTGGGGCATAGAGAAAGAGATTAGTTAAGATTCAGGAATGTAGGCAAGCTGACCTGGGAGGAAGGGGGTCTCCCTCCTGGGATCTCATTTTCCCTGCCATCTCATTCTTGGAGGAATGACCCGGAGCAGGATGTTAATACTAGTACCTGTCTTATAGGGTCATGCTCAGTTAATGACCAACTGTATAGAAAGTGTTTAGAGCAGGGCCTGGCCCAGAGAAGTGCTCCGTAACTATTTGCTAAGTCAGTATCTTCAAGGGATCCCTATAAGGTTATTGTTGACTAAGAGTGTTAAGATGCAGAAAATATAGTCATGGGCATCGACAAAGTCCTGTAGATGTCTAGATGTGTCTGTCATCTCATGTGCTTAGAAAACTGTGGGAGGCAAACTTGGATGCCACCAAAGGAGGAACGTGAGGGGTGGGGGTGAGCCAAAGAAAAACATTTGTTTTTTTTATTTTTAAAGATTTTGATTTTTAAGGAATCTCTACACCCAACACGGGGCTCAAAATTATAACCCCGATATCAAGACTTGCACGCTCTATGGACTGAGGCCGCCAGGATCCCACAAAGAAGAACCTTTAAAGCAACTTTATGATCATTTTTATGCAGTTATTCTGTATGTGCCTATGCACAGAGAACATTTCAATGATGAAGAAGGAGAAGAGGAAGAAGGAGGAGGAGAAGGAGAAGAAAACTATGAAATGAAGCACCTCCCTATTTCCCATGGGGCCAGGGTTGGGGTGCCCAGCAGTGATGTGAAGAGCAGAAGTCCAGCCAGTGATGGAATCTTTCCGACATGTCATATGTTTATTTCAAAATCAAACGATCTCTGATAAATATTTACCCCCAATGATGGTGGGAAATAGGTAGAGAGGTTCTGGAATCCCATCAATTGTTTGAAGGATTGTCTTTTGTCTGTGGGGACTTCCCTAGAGGGCTGTTTGTAGCACACACACACACACACCCCTCTCCCGCCCCCACTCCCTTCACCCCCCACCCCCACCTCCAAATATCCGCACACCTTTCTGGCATCTGACCTATAAAAAGGCAATCTCCTAGTCAGGTGAGGTGTGGGGGCCATGGGAGCCTTCGCCCCTCAGGAGCTGCCCCTCCCTGGTGCCCAGGCCACTGGCCTCCGGATGGGGATTCTTCATTGGTGACTGTCACTTCCGTCTTCCTGGTGTGGCCGTTAGGTTTCTCTGCTGTGCTCCTTCACCTTCTCCTAAAGATGCTTTCTCTTAGTTCTATACTTGCTCACTGAGGAACGCAACATCTTGATTAACTTGCTTAAGGAATATCATAAAAATCCCAGCATTCTGAAATTGTTTGGGCATTGCAATGATCTCCATTGGGGAGATGAAAAAATGCTTGAAGAATGAGTACAGGAAAAAGAGGACCAGGAGCAGGGAGCAGGGCAATGCGATGTGAAAGAGACTTTTTAATCCCGCAGAGGGGATCTGAAAAATAAATTACAGGCATGCCTTGTTATTTAAAAGAAAAAAAAAAAAAAAAGGAATCTCCCCGCTACTTGTTCCATGCTAGCAGTTGGGGCCAAGAAGGTCAGACAGGAAAAAGTCCCATCGGAGTCCTCCTCATCCATAGCTAGGGTAGATTACTGTCTCTTCCCCCACGTGGCTCTCCACTTTGTTCTCCACACAGTAAATCTTCCAAAGTGCAAACCTGATCTTGTCATCTTTATTCATTTTTTAAAAAAAAAGATTTTATTTATTTATTTGAGAGAGAGAGAGAGAAAGAGCACAGGCACGGGGAGGGGGGGGGGGGGGGGGGGGGGGGGGGGGGGAGAAGCATGCTCTCTGCTGAGCAGGGAGGCCGAGGGAAGGGACGCTGGGTCCCAGGACCCACAGATCATGACCTGAGCCCAAGCGAAGATAAACCCTTAACCGACTGAGCCACGCAGGCTCCTCTTTTTTTTTTTTTTTTAAGACCATGTTATTGTTGTGCAAATTTAATCCAAATTTCTTAGGCTACAAGGTCCTGCTGGATCTGGCATTTTGGGGCAAGTAGGCCCCACCCGGTGGAAGTGCAGTTCCCTCGGACCAGTGGTTCTCCTCTCTCCCTCTCCCCACCCTCGTCACCCCTCCCTCTCTTCAGGCCTTTGCTTTTTACACCGCTTTCCCTCCCTCTGAAAACCTCTCCCCGCCCACCCGCCCAGCCACCTCGCTGACTCCGCCTCATCTCCAGGCCTCTGCCAGAATGTCACTTCTTCCAGGACGCCTTCCAGGCTGCCGAGGGACCCCAGAAGCGAAGGTGCTTGGGTTTGGGTCTATTGCCTCGCAGTCCGGTAGTCAGATTCAGAAGTGCAGAGGCCCAATACCCGCAGCCTGCGGTCTCTGCATTAAACCGCGACATTTCTGGCTTGAATTCAGTGACCTCCATCCATCCAAGTGTACGCTAGCTCTGTCTTTGCCTGCTCAGAGCTAGTTCTGGCGGACCCCCAGGCTGAGGGTTGCAGACTGGGACAATTTTGGGGGTGTGGTCGGGTCCTGGAGACGCTGAGCGCGTGCAGAGAATGCCCCTGCGAGGGGGCCCCTCACAAACAGGGCCGAACCGCTGCGCCCCTGCCCCTCACAAATATGGCATCCTGCGGATTCTTATTGGTTCCGGGAGACTCTCTGGGTAGCGCTGATTGGTGGAAGGCAGGGGCGAGGCGAGGCTGGGCGGGGCGGGGCGTCTCCGGCCCGGGCCTAGCAAGTGGTAACGGGCGGTAGGACTATGTCGCAGGCACGCTGCCACCTGCGCGCCGCTCTCTTCCTGGCGGCAGTTTCTTCACGCGGTGCCACGACCGGGGTCACGGCGCGGCGAGGGTTGAGCGCGTGGCCCGCGCCGCAGGAGCCCGGCATGGAGTATCAGGTATCCGGCGGGCCGACGGGCGGTCGTAAGACGACACGTGTGCCGGGCCTGAGCCACACAGCGTCCGGACTCCGCGGCCTGAGGCTAGGGTGGACCGGGAGCCTGACAGTGGGGGACTCGAGGGCCGGAACATCCTGGAGCCCGGGGGTGGGGACAGAGACCAGGAAGTTGGGCCTGGGCCGCGGGTTCTGGGAATTCTGAGGCTAAAGTGTCCCGCCTTAGTGGGAAGGGGCGTCCAGTGATAGGGGGTTCAGGGTCCCAACTAGCGGTTGGGGTGTGGGAGGGGTGAAGAGTTTCAGGAGTTCAGATTTGAGAGATCCAAGAGTTGGTATCTGGGGTTGGAGTCTCCAGGATTCAGGAGATCAGAGATCCGAGTGCCTGGAATTGGGGGCAGGCGGGAATCAGGTGGTATTGGTGGGTGGTAAGAATCTGGAGAACATAAAATTTCCACCTGGCTCTGTTGTAGGGGTGGGTTTCCATAGACCACACCTGCTGCCTGTCAGGCCGATGACACAGTTTAATGGGTGCAGGGCCTCCAGCCAGCTATTGGGGCCCTTGAGGGGGAATAAATAGCATGTCCACTCTCACTCCCACACTCTCCTGAGGAGTGTCTGGTCACTGGCTGGTCGACCCCTGGGAGACCCCTCTTCCTTGGAGCATCCATCTCTTCCCCATCTGGACGCTTTGAGCAGCTCTTTTTTGAGTCAGGCTGTGGAACCCCATCCTCAGGGTTGGGCATGGAAGCCTCCAGGGATTTCTAGTTCGAATTCCTCCAGTTCTAAAACCCCAGCCTTCTGTGGTTCTCTTGCACCCCCTCACAGCCCCTTCCCAATTTAGAGCCCAGTATAGCTGTGGACGTCATTGGGGGGAATGAGGGCAAAGACCCCAGTGTGGGGTTGAAGACTGGGAAGCCCAAACTGGGAACAGGCTTCTCCCGTTAGTCATGTAACCTGCTTGCCTAACACTCCTGGGTGGGGCCGAACTGCCCCAGGTTCCCATCTCTGCCAGAGCTGGGAAGATGCCACTTCTCTCTCACCAGTGCCTAACCTCGATGCTGGGGCACCAGGGCGGGCATTGGTAGGCTTGGTGCCCTGGCTTGGCCACCGATGTCCCAGGGTCCCTCTGTTTCTGTGGACCGCTGCTGCGTCCTAACCTGCTCCCTGGGGACTGTGGTTGCCAGGATGCTGTGCGTGCCCTGAACACCCTGCAGACTAATGCTGGCTACCTGGAGCAGGTGAAGCGCCAGCGGGGTGACCCTCAGACGCAGCTGGACGCGATGAAGCTGTACTTGGCCCGGAGTGGGCTGCAGGTAAGGTGGGCGGGGCCCGGGACCGCTCTCGCCCCCCCCCCCCCCCCCCAAAGGTGAGTCTGTGGCTGAGGCGGTCGTCCTTATGTCTTCAGGTGGAAGACTTGGACCAGCTGAACATCATTCACGTCACTGGGACCAAAGGGAAGGTGAGAGATCAGACTCAGGGGTAGGGTATCCACCTGATGGGGTGGGAGGGTGGGGCCAGCCCAAACAAGATCTCTTCTTTCTAGGGTTCCACTTGTGCCTTCACTGAACGTATTCTCCGCAGCTATGGCCTGAAGACAGGATTCTTTAGGTACTGAGGGTTGGAGAAATGTGGGATCTCTTAGCTCTCCGCGTGGAGGGGATGGTGGCCGGGGGTGGCCTGGAACCAACTAGCAGGAGCTCAGCTGCCTCTCTCTCTGCCCAATGTTGATTGATTCAATAACCATTCCATTGGCTTTTAACATATTGCCCGAAGTTTGTGGCTGCCTTTAATTTTCGTAATGAAACGAATTCAGGACGGGGAGACAGCAGCTGGAATGTGTACATGAAGTACATACCTAGAGTCATCAGATATCTTTTTTATTAAATTCCGTGTGCAGCTTTTATGTTTTTTAAGATTTAAAAAAAAAAATTTAAGTAATCTCTACACACAACGTAGGGCGTGAACTCACAATCCCACAGTCAAGTTTTGCACACTCTACCCATGGATCCAGCCGGGTGCCCCCACATAGAGCTTTAAAATCACAGAGAAATATTTATCACCTCGGACGTCTTTGCCGTAAGGAGCAGAAAATCTGGCTTGTTAGGGCTTAAGTGCTGAGGTATTTCCTGATGTCCACGTGTCGAGGTGTCCCTTCTGTTCTGCTGGCGTCAGCCGCCCCTTTGCCACCTCGTGCTTGGCCTCAGGCACCAAAACGCACACCAGAGGATGGGGTGTGAACCAGATGTAGGGCCCTCTTTCCTGCGCTGCGCATGCCTCTCCTCAGCTCCTCACCAGTAAAGCAGTGGGATCACAGTGGTCGTGAAGTGCTCAGAGTTTGGTCCCTGTGGTGGTGGGACTTAGGATTTTTGCTCCTTTTATTTTGCCAGTTCCATCAAGTGACATCTAGAACTGTCTGAAATCAGCTGACTGAGGCCATTTCAGGCCGTATTTTCTCTCCACAGTTCTTTGTTCAAAAGAAAGAAATGGGGGCGCCTGGGTGGCTTAGTGGGTTAAAGCCTCTGCCTTCGGCTCAGGTCATGATCCCAGGGTCCTGGGATCGAGCCCCACATTGGGATCTCTGCTCAGCAGGGAGCCTGCTTCCCTTCCTCTCTCTCTGCCTACTTGTGATCTCTGTCAAATAAATAAATAAAATCTTAAAAAAAAAAAAAGAAATGTAAGGAAGGACTTATAATATGAGAGGGGCTTGGAGGATTCAAACACAAGCTGACAATCTCTCTTCTAAAATAATTTTGGGGATGGGGTGATCTGGCTGATGCTGTAGGTAGAGCCTATGACCCTTGATCTCTGAGGTTGTGAGTTTGAGCTCCACGTTGGGTCTGGAGATGACTTTAAAAAATAATGAAACCTTAACAAAAATTAGTTTTGAAAAATATTTTTTTGGGTAAAAACCCAGCCTTTGGCTTCAGCCCGTGTAGCCTCGTGGGCCGGCCTGGGGTTGCATCTTGAGCACACAGATGGGACCTTGCCCTCTAGGGCTGGAAGACAGTGTGGGGGCAGATGTTGGCAGAGTGACTGAGGCGTGTGTGATGGGTAAAGCACAGGGGCCTTTTGGAGCCCAGAGCACATTCCTGATCAGCCTGTTGGGGTACCAGGCAGGGGCAGGGCTTTCTTTCTGGAGGAGGGCCCAACTCAGTTGAGATGTGTAGAGGGAGTTGGGGGGTGGGCAGCCTGGAGGAACTACGAATAGGCCCGAGGGGCTAGGGCACAGGGAACTGTGGGGCTGTGGGAGAGGTGAGGCACAGAGCCCAGTGCCTCAGCCCCACCAGGACCTGGGAGGCTGGGTGAGGAGCTGGGACGCTGGAGGCCGGAGGGAAGTCACAGGACTGTCAGCAGGGCAGTGGCGTGGTCAGATCTGGGTTTCTGAAGACAGGCATGAGGGGCTCGGGAAGGGAGTCCCGATGACCACAGGTCTCCCGGCAGCTCTCCCCACCTGGTGCAGGTGCGGGAGCGGATCCGCATCAACGGGCAGCCCATAAGCCCCGAGCTCTTCACCAAGCACTTTTGGCACCTCTACCACCGGCTGGAGGAGACCAAGGTGCGCATGCAGGAGGGGCGGTGGGGGGCCGGGTAGGGGCGCTGGAGAGACCCACAGGGGGCTGTATGCCCCAGAACCCCGTCTCCCCAGAGCAGAAGTGGCAGGGCCCTGGGTTCTGACATGTTCTTGTCCACAGGACAGCAGCAGCTGTGTCTCCATGCCCGCCTACTTCCGCTTCCTCACACTCATGGCCTTCCACATCTTCCTCCAGGAGAAGGTACGTGCCCACTCCCCTGAGTCCTGTGTCTGAGGCCGTGGGGAGGGGAATCTCAGCCGGCTGGGGGAACAGGACCCCTGACGTGCCTCCTATGCCTCTGCAGGTGGACCTGGCGGTGGTGGAAGTGGGCATTGGTGGTGCTTACGACTGTACCAACATCATCAGGTGAGGACCACTGCTTGGGAAGAACGGACGGCGGCCGTGAGCCCCAGGCGGCACCATCAAGTCCTTTCTGTCTCCTGCAGGAAGCCTGTGGTGTGTGGCATCTCCTCTCTTGGCATCGACCACACCAGCCTTCTGGGGGACACAGTGGAGGCGATCGCATGGCAGAAAGGGGGCATCTTCAAGGTACCAGACAGCCCTGGGGAGAGGAGGTACATGGATGGCCTGGCCCTGGCCCTCAAGCCTTAGGGAAGTGGGGATGGGGCAGGGTCACCTGTATTCTAACTCAGGATAAGGTCTCAGCCATCAGCGGGGTCTGGAGCAAGAGGCCCCTCCCCTCCCCTCTGGAGGGCAGGTGAAGTGAGCTGCCAGACCCCAGGACGGAGGACCCGCAGCAGTCTGTCTCACTCTCCCCCTCCTCCTTTGCAGCGTGGCGTCCCTGCCTTCACGGTGCTCCAGCCTGACAGTCCCCTGGCAGTGCTGCGGGACCGTGCCCAGCAGATCTCGGTGAGTTTGGAGACCCCAGGGTGGGGGTGGTAGCCCACTGGGGAGGCACGTCATCCTTTTGGGCCTCAGTTTGCCCATCTGTGCAGTGAGGGACAACTGCTCAGCCAGCTAGAGCACATTCTGGTTCCCAGAGCAGGACGGAAGGATCCACAGCGTCAGGGAGGGCTCCCCTGACCCGCTGTTGCCCGTCTCCTTGACAGTGTCCTCTCTACCTGTGCCCACCACTCGAAGCCCTGGAGGAAGGCGGGCCGCCGCTGACCCTGGGCCTGGAGGGAGAGCACCAGCGGTCCAACGCCGCCTTGGCCTTGCAGCTGGCTCGCTGCTGGCTGCAGCAAAAGGGCCACCAGGGTAGGTGGGCGGGCGCGTGGGGAGGGGGCACGTGGAGCCTGCCTCTGAAGGTTCCCTGCACACTCCGTCCACACAGCAGCCCCTCCCCCCACCCTTGCTCCTCAGGCCTCGGGGAGCTGAAGATGTCTCGGGCCAGCGTCTTGCAGCAGATGCCCCTGGCACCCGTGTTCCAGCCCACGTCCCACATGCGACATGGTGAGGCAGACCTTCTTGCCTGGCCGGGACCCCTCAGATGTTTCTTTGAGTATCCTGTTTGAGAGGAGGGGGCGGTTGGAGATGGTGCCCAGAACAAAGGCCTCTGAAGTCAATGTCCCTGACTTTGAGTTCATGGACTCTGAGCCTCAGTTTTCCTACCTGCCAAATGTGGTGATGACAGGGCCCACCGTGTGGTGACATCACTGAGGGGCTGAGCCAGGGCCTAGTGGGATGTAGCGCCCAGTCAGTGGTAGCTGCTGTTACTGGCAATCTTGTCATCATCCTAAGACCATGAGGTCTGGAGAACGGAGCCATTGTCAGGCTTCTTGCTTCCCCCCGAGCTTTCAGCACACAGTAGGTGCTCATAGCAGCTAAACCCCTCTTGCCAGTGATTCCCTTGTGCCCACTGTGTGCCGGCCCGAGTCAGGCAGATCTCAGATCACATCCCGGCAAGCTTGGCTGTGACCTGATCTCTCTTGGCTAAGGGCTCTCCGCCTACATGGAATAGGAGACTGAGATATGATAGGGATGTCCCCTCTCAGGGCTGCTGGGAAGACTCCCTCAGGGGAGGCAGAGTGAGTGAGAGTGAGTGGCAGGCAGCTTGACTCATCAGCCTCCCAGCAGAGCAGCAGGCAGCAGGCTGTGTGTGTGAGTTGAGGACTAGGGTGGGAGCCGGCTGCCTTGCCCCCTGCAGGGCTTCGGGACACCGAGTGGCTGGGCCGGACGCAGACACTGCGGCGCGGGCCCCTCACCTGGTACCTGGACGGCGCGCACACCGTGAGCAGTGTGCAGGCCTGCGTGCGCTGGTTCCGCCAGGCGCTGCACCGCAGCCGGAGGCCGAGCCGGTGAGCTTCCGGGGCGGGGCTTCGGGGGTCGAGGGGCCGGACGCTGGGGGGAGCTGCTGGGACGGACCCAGCCGGGAGGAGGGCCGTTTCTGGAGGAAGGAGGGGGTGGGGCCCACGGAGTGGGGTGGGAGGTGCCCCCTCTCTGACCACGCCCCCATCCCCGCCCCTCTCCCAGCGGCCGTGAGGTGCGCGTCTTGCTTTTCAACTCCACTGGGAACCGGGATTCCGCGGCCCTGCTGAAGCTGCTGCAGGTGAGGGGCTTGCTCGGGAGTGGGCGGGAGGCCCACCAGCCCCGTTTCTGGCCGTGGGATCCCCAAGCTGCCTTCACCGCCGGACGTTGTTTCTTCAACTCTCAAATGGGGCTCCCCTGAATGGTACTGAGGATACCATGTGAAGGGACCGGGCTCATAAGGAGGTTTAGACCTAGGTAGGTCACTGCCCTCGTCCTGCGGGGTCAGGCTGAATGAAGCCGAGTTAAAAGCAGGACTAGGCAGGGGCGTGAGGTGTGGGCTGTGGACTGGCTTAGCCTGCCCCTTCGGCCACTAGTACAGGGTTGTAGACGAGATGGCATTTCAGAGATGGTTTGCGGAGTCTCTGAGCTGTAAAGCCTGAAGAGGCCCCCTCTCTGCTCAGGGACGTTGAGGCGTGCCCTGGGCTGTCAGGGCCGAAGTGGTTCCTAGGGATCGTTTCCTATTTTACAGACCAGGAAGCTGAAGCTGTTCATCTCTCTCACAGGGCAGACAAAGCCTTTCCCCAGCCTGGATTTGGGGCCTGCTCCTTAGCTGGGTGATCTTAAGCAAATCCCCCTCTCCCCAGCCTCAGTGTTCCCATCTGTACAGTGGGCCGTGCTGCCCAGGCCACGGGCCTGCAGGGTGTACTGAGGCAGATGAGCCGCTGAGGTTCCATGGCTGGGTTTGTATAGCATCACTCCAGCTGAGTGGGGGCGTCTCCAGAGATGGGGATGTTGGGGGCAGCCCAGGGGAGGTGCTGTGAGCAAGTTGGGGTGGTGGAGTCATCCTCTCTGGACTCTGACACCAAGTCTTTCCTCTTGGCCTTCTAGCCCTGTCAGTTTGACTATGCCATTTTCTGCCCTAACCTGACGGAGGTGTCATCTGCTAGCAACGCAGGTAAGGTGACAGGCATGGTCTCTGGGAGTGAGCAGGGGGCAGAAGCCCCTTCAATGGACTGCTCTGATGGGGACAGTGGGGGCTTTGGAACAGGAGGTCCCGGGTAGGAGCTAGATTTGTTTTATTGTATAGATAAATACTCTTCAGTACGTTGTGGATATTGTGATCACAGTACTGGAACAGAATTACTGGAGGGAAACGGTTTTCAAAATGCAGGCTGCAACCCACCGATGGTTTTATAGTCAATTTAGTGGGTATGAACAAGCATTTTTATCTATCTACTTATTTTTAAAGATTGTATTTATTTGACAGACAGAGATCACAAGTAGGCAGAGAGGCAGCCAGAGAGAGAGGAGGAAGCAGGCTCCCCGCTGAGCAGAGAGCCTGATGTGAGGCTTGTTCCTAGGACCCTGGGATTATGATCTGAGCCTAAGGCAGAGGCTTTAACCCACTGAATCACCCAGGAGACCCTATTTTTTTTTTTTTTTTTTAAGATTTTATCTGTCAGGGAGAGAGAGGGAACGCACAGCAGGGGGAGTAGGAAGGGCAGAGGGAGAAGCAGATTTCCTGCTGATCAGGGAGCCGATTCGGGACTTGATCGTAGGATCCTCGGATCATGACCTGGGCTGAAGGCAGACGCTTAACCGTCTGAGCCACCCAGATGCCCTAAACCAGCATTTTTAAAATGAAATAGAAAATATACGTGTGACTTGCATGAAGGGTAGGTACTGTTTTGTGACGGTACCGTCCCAGACACCTGTATACACCTGTGTGAGTACTGAGTTGCCCTCGTAAAGGGTTGTTTTTTTTTTTTTAAACTGTGGGTCATGTTCAAAAAAATTTGAAATAGTGTAAAAAGAAAATGCAGATCCCCAGGCCCCACAGCAGACTGTTGGGGAGAATCCAGGAATGCACATTTCCACTTAGGCCCACCCGTGTGCTGGATCCTGCCTTACAGTTGAAGGCAGTGAGGCTAAGGTTTGGGGAGGTGTTGATCAGGCCAGAGCTCCCGCTTTCAAGCTAAGCTCCGTGGCCCTGCTTGCCACCAGCTCTGGGACGGTCTGTGTCTCCGCTTCCTCCCAGCATTTCCCACTGTGAGGCCTGATGGTGTGTGTAAAGGGCCTGGTCTTGAGCAGGTGCTCCCAGTGTGCCTCCCCCACCCCGTCCCCCCAGCTGATATGCCCACCCTTGTGCCCGGCAGACCAGCAGAACTTCATGGTGACCCTGGACCAGGTGTTGCTCCGCTGCCTTGCACATCAACAGCACTGGAGCCACCTGGATGAGGAGCCGGCCAGCCTGGACCTCTGGAGCCCCACCAACCCGGAGCCTGGTGATGAGCCCACATCCTTGCTGCTGGCTTCCCACCCACGCCACACCCATAGCACTGGCTCCCTCGTCTTCAGCTGCATCTCCCATGCCCTGCAGTGGATCAGCCAAGGCCGGGACCCTGTCTTTCAGCCACCCAGTCCCCCCCCAGGCCTCCTTGCCCACCCTGTGGCTGGCAGTGGGGCTGGTGTGCTCCGAGAGGCTGCCGCCATCCATGTACTGGTCACAGGCAGCCTGCACCTGGTGGGCGGCGTCCTGAAGCTGCTGGAGCCTTCCCTATCCCAGTAGCCCAGGCAGTGGGGTTGGAAGTGGGGGGGTCTCCCACGCCTGCCCTACAGCTCACCATGAACTTTTGTTAGGTGCCTTTTGTTATCTGCTTTTCTGATTCTGTCCAGACTGGCCCGGGGTCCTGGGCTCTGGGCAGCAAGATCCAGGGCTAGAATGGGGAGGCCGAGATGGGACATCCTCTTGTCTGAGCCTAGGGTGCCTTGGGCCTCTCCCTCCTCCTGACTGAGACAGCCAGAGGGCTTCTTGGTTGTCCCACTGTCCCAATAGGCTAAACTATGCAGCCCCCCATCCCTTGCTACCCTGCCTGCATCCTGGCTCAGGCCCAGCTTACCGTGTGAGCTGCCTGGCCAGGCCTGGGGTCCTGCTGGGTGCTGGTTGATAGATTACCTCTTAGTGGCCTTCTGGGGAAGAGAGGGCTCCTGCCTGGGGCCCACCAGAGACAAAGGATGGCTGGAGTCAATTAAAGCCTTTAAGTTTTTCAAAAAGAAATGGCAAAATGTTTGAGCAGCTTAATCTCTAGCTCCCTTAGCACAAAACGCAGGCGTCAGGGCTGCAGCTGGCATGGGAACTGGACTGGGTAGGAGCCCAGGCTGTAGGGCCTGGGATGAGCCCCTCCCCAGCAACCCCACCACCACCCCAGCCTCAGGGGGCCTGTCTGAAGCAAGAACCCTGGACTCGGTTCCATCGGCCACAGGCCAGGCACGGATTTGCAGACTTCTGCACAGAGACTTTGTGACTGCTGAGGGAACTGTGGCTGGCTCGGACGAGCCATGGGACCTGCCCACAGTCACAAAGCCAATTAAGTGGCAGGTTTGGGATTTGACCCCAGAGCTGTCACCTCCCCACCCGTTTTAGGCTTCCTGTCCCTTCTCCCGGCCCAGGCCAGCACTGATTTCATGGTCTGATTTATTGGTGGTGAGTATATAGGGGTGGGTCCAGGCCAAACAGGCCACTTCCCATCAGGTGCCTGCCTCTGGGGTCTCCATGTGACAGTTGCGGGGAGGAGCTAGGCTCCCCTGGTGCCAGGCTGGGCAGCCCTAGGCTTCTGTTTCCCTTGCTAGAGTTGTGCCAGTCCAGGTGTGGAGGCCGCTGGGAGCAGGTCCGGGTGGCTGTGGGCTGGCCCTCTTCTGTTTCCGTGGAGGAGGCCTGGGTGGGCTGGGTCAGTCTGTTTTGAGTTCTTGCCTCCCACCCAGCCCGGGTGCTGGATCCGGGTGCCTCGGTTTTTACAGCAGTGTGGAGTTATAGGGCAGTGGTCTCTCTCTCCGTGGTCCTGGGGCAGCCACAGTCCGGGCCCACCGGGTTTGCAGGTTCTGTGGGGTGGGGAGGGGGGACCCCACGGTGTTCCAGGCTGGTGCCCCCGCTGGCAGCAGGCCTCTGAGAGGGAGGCAGGAGGGGTGGACGCAGAGGGCATGGTCCATCCTTGGTCGAGTGGAGGGGTTGGGGTCCCAGGATAAGTTCAGGGCCAGTGCTTCCCAGCTGGTGGCTGCTCAGTCTCTCCTGCTGGGCGAGGGCTGGCTGGGGGGCCCCCAGGTCTCCAAGCTGGGTGCTACGCCATGCTGCTGGTGGAGCAGGGGGTGCTCTGGGTGCTCCCGATGCTGTGGTTGGTGCTACTGCTCTCCGAGGAGGCCGGGGCAGCCACCGCCACCACGGGCTCCCGCTTGCCGGGGGGACCTGGGGGCAGGGGCGGAGGTCAGGGCCCCGGCCAGGGCTCCCCACTCCCCCAGAGGCTCCCCCGGGCTCCCCCAGGTGGTGGTGGCGGCAGAGAGGTCCTGAGCACTCATGGAGGGGGCCTGGGATACTCACGCGTGTGCGAGTAGATGTACCAGAGTGCGGCGGTAAGCAGGGCCCCAATGAGGAAGGCGCCAAAGGTGATGCCCAGCACAGCGGGCAGGACGAGGCCTTTGTCTGTGCACGCGAGGGAGGGACAGCTGCAGTCAGTGCTACGGCCCCCTCCCAAGCCGCCCACCGTGTGCGCTGGCCGGAAGCACAGGTCTGGGTGTCAGTCCCAGCTCAGCCACTGGCCCTGACTTCTGGACCTCAGTCTTCTCATCTAGCAGGTAGAATCATCAAACCCCTGCCTAGGTGGTGGCTTTTCTGACCGTCCACCCAGAAGGCCCAGCCAGGCCTTTGGGCCGAGACTCTGCCTTCCAAGGCTGATGGAGGTGCATTTTTAGGGAGAACGGATGGTATAATCCGAGTAAAGAGTGAGTCGGGCCTGAGAGTACAGAGCCTCCCCATCCCACTGTGTGACCTTGGGTCAGTCCCTGCCCCTCTCTGAGCCCTCTGCTGTGGTAGGAATGGGCCAGAGTACTTCTGAGGGCTCTTCAGCTCTGCTTGTGGGTTTTCCCAAGCCTCGTTCATCCACACTCCTGATTCCTGAGTGACGATGGGCCTCCCCTTGGACACTGAGTTCCTGTCGATGCAGTGGGGTAATTAGCCCTGCCCTCTTGGTCATGGGCTAGGGTTAGGGCTCCATCCTAACCCAGGTAAGATGGCAAGGAAGCAGGTACCCCACCCCACCCCTGACCTCTGCCCCCAGTGTCAGTGACCTGTTCTGCCTAGTAGGGGCCCAGGCCCACAGGGAATGTACTGGAGGCTGGAGGGTGCTGGGCTGAAGGGGCATCCTCTACAGTGGGGGCCTTAAGAAGGGGAGGCCAGCCCTGCCCCACTATGCCTTCCGCCTCATTTGATTCCAGAACCCCCCCAGCACCCCCAAGCAAGGTCAGCTAGCAACCACAGGGATTAGGAAAATCTAAATGCCTGGGATCCAGTCTATGGGGTTGTCAAGGGCCAAGGCTTTCTAGCTAGAAGATGCGGCACAGATCCTACGCTAGGCTGCTGGGGGCCCTTCTGTCCCTCCCAGGGGTGTTCTCTTTGGGGTCCTCCCTGCATGTATCTGTGCTGCACCCCTTTGGGCCACCCATCAGGCCCCACACTGGCCTCAGCCACTGGAACCCAAGAGAGACTCACCAGGCAGGCCAGGGCTGACAATATTCAGACGCATGGAGACAGTCCTGTGGGTGTCCTGGGGGAGGAAGAGAGCGGTGGATAGCACAGCCTGCAGGAGCCGGCCCCTGGGCTTATTCCCTGGCTCTGTGACCCTGGCCTGTCATAACCCGCCCTGGGGCCTTGGTTTTGGATCCCATCCCGCCGCTTAGCTGTGAGCCTTTGGGCAAGCCCTGGGAGATCCATGCTGAGGGAGGGTGGTGGGTGGACAACCCTTGGCTGCTGCTAGGATGTTCCCTGGGAGGCTTCCAAATCCCATGAGGATTGCGGGGGCACTCGGCACTGCATCTGGGACCCTCGTGAAGGGTCAGGTGAGCCAGGTTAACTCAGGCCTGTGCTCACTGAGGGTCGCTGGGCTGGGGGTTGGGGAGGCCCACTCAGGAGTGTCCCCAAATGCTTGCCTAGCTTCATACAACCAGAAGAGTTTCTAATCCTAGAGTCTCTTCTGTGTGCCAGGACCTGGGGATGTGTGTCCAGGGCTGTGTGCCTGAGGACAGATTCCCCACTGGATGTTGAAGGAGAAGATCAGAATTTTGTGTCCTTTATCTTAACCCTCTTTGCGGAGATCTCCTGTTTAATGCAGTGACATTGGTGACTACTACATGGAAAGATGGGTGAGTGCATGGGTTCCTGGATGAATGGGTGTCAATAGATGACTGGGTGGGATGGTAGGAGGCTGCTGGCTGACTGGGATGGTGGAAGGACTATAGATGAATGACTGGGTGGCATGGTGAGAAGTATCAACCAATGAATGGATGGCTGGGTGGGAGAGAGTGACCATGGACAGATGACTGGGTGGGATGGTAGAAGGCAAGATGGAAGGAAGGATAGATGGAAGGGCGGGATGGATGCATGGATGGATGAAAGGCAGAAAGAAAGCTGGGAAAGATGGAAAGATGGTCGAAGGGTGAATGATTGGAAGGAAGAAAGGATGGATGGGTGGAAGAGTGTAGGATGCGTGGAAGAAATGCTGGAAGGATGGATGCCAAGGATGAATGGATGGTGGAACGTTGAGTGGATGGAAGATGGGTAGATGGTGGACGGGCGGAAGGACAGATGGGTGAATGGTGGACAGGTGAATGGATGGAAGGATGGGTAGTGGAAGCATGGATGGAAGAAAAGGAAGGAAGGATGAATGGATGGAAGACAGGAATGAAGGATGGAAGGAGCAAAAAGGAAAGAAGGATGGTTGGGAGGAGTGATGGAAGCAAGGAAGGATAGACAGCAGAAGGAAGGATGGATGGACACAGCTGCGAATCCTACTAATGTCCAATATACAGCAAAGCCATCAGAAGGCTGTAGGGTGGCAGAAGGAGTAAGCCTTGGTCACCAGAAGCCACACACCAGTCTGTGGTTCTGCCCCTTACCAGCTGGTCCCACATCGTGGGCTTGTCGCATCCCTTCCTGGAAACCCTAGACCCGAAGCTACCCTTGAAGCTGGGCCCCCACTCACCGGGGACAGGCTCCTCGAACGCAGGGTTATGGTGCAGCTGAGGATGCCGGTCGTGGGCGTGGACACCATGTAGCCACGGAGGAGGAAGCTGAAGCGCACGTCCCCACTGGGGCCTGGGGACAGCAGGCTCACACAGCTGCCCTTGGCGGTCTGGCTCTGGATGAGTTCCACGGTGTCCGCGTCAGGCCCCAAATCCAGGTGGCAGCTGTCCAGCTGGAGCATGAGCTCCGGGATGGAGGGGGACATGCTCACCTACGTGGGTAAGGTAAGAGTGACAGGGCACAGTCAGTTACTCAATGCTGCCCTTGGGAAATACGCGAGACTCATTCTGGGGGCCCACCTTGGAGGTGGAAGGAGAGTCCTGGGTCCCCCTAGAGCAAATGAGGAGGAGGGGACACTCCACCCAGTGTCTCTGTGTGGGCCTTCCCCTCCACCAAGCACCCTGCTGGCTCCCTCCTTTGGGGAGTTCAGTGCACACCTTCCCTCTACTAATGGTGCAAAGAAAGGCTCTGAGAATCCCAAGAGCGGGCAGGCCTGAGAGGTCAAGTCCGGTACCTGCACAAAGCCCTGTTGCCCCAGCTCGATGGTGTTTGAGACCTGGAGGAAGTGTGGGCTGAGGTACAGGCCCAGCTGGAAGGAGAGGCTCTCCATGTTGATGCAGTGCACCTTCTTCTGTGGGAGAGAGGGGGGCATGGTCAGTCTGGGAGACACTGGGCAGGAGGGTAAGGGGTGGGGGTGGGGATGGGGGTGGGGCTAGGAGCACAAGCCATGGTCCCCAGTTGCTGCCTGACCCTCCTTTAAAAAAAAAAAAAAAAAAGCTTATTTTCATCAAGAACTTGCTCTGCGCCAGGCCTGGGTGAATGCTTTCCCAGGTGTGGTATCAGTGACTGCTCAGAAACACCCCATAGGGGAGATCCATCCTTAGGCCCCTGTTTATAGATCGGATCTTTGGGTCCAGAAAGCTTAATTCGCTTGCACAAGGCCACACAGCCAGTATGTACTAGAACTTTCTGGCTTGAGAGGCTGAGAATATAACCC